TGGAGGAGGAGGGCAAGGATCAACCGGTAAAGAAGTGCCCGAAGGTTGCCCCTTTGAAGGAGGAAAAGGAGCAGGTGGATCCCATGAACCCACCGTTTCCAGGGGGGCACGGGCCTCCAAGGGCCTGCAGATGGAAGGGCCTAGAAGCACCGTTTCATGACGGAGGAGGGTTGGCTTCCCCGGGGAGGTGGTCATCGCATGATAGAAAGAGGCTGGATAGCAAAGAGTGGGTGTTGTTGAGGCACCGCATTGTGTTGGCAGCAGTCAGACGGCTGGGGAGCATTGTGGAAGTTGAGAAAGAGGCCTTTCGCATGGCAAAAGGAGGAGATTCCTTTCAGCTGGTCAGAGATGAAAGCTTCTTGGAGGAGATTAGGGAGGTCCTGGCTGGAAAGTTGGGCCTCCCAATGCAGAAAAGTCCTGAACCAGGGCAACCATTTTTCCTGGACCTCATGAAGGGAATCCTCGAGAAGGCAGGAGATCCCGACTGGATGTTCTTGGAGCAGGCGAAGACCGGGTTGCCCTTGGGAGTCCTCAATGATCTCCCGGGAACTCCGATGATCTTTGAGGAGCAGTCAAAGTGGAACCTCGAAGGGGATGACTGGAGCAGTGCGGTCTGGCAAAAGGACAACTATACCTCAGCTGCGGAGCACGAGAAGTACCTGATTGAACATCTCGATCAGGAGGTGGCTGAAGGGTTGATGGTGAGAATGGATGAGAGGGAGTTTGTCGAGACTTTTGGTGAGAATCGTGCCGTTGCAGCATTGGCGGTCCTGGTCGAGGATGAGGTGACCGGGAAGAAGAGGGTCATCCACGATGGCACGCATGGTGTCATGGTGAACCATCGAATCCGGTGCAGGGACAAAGTCCGGATGCCAGGGCCTAGAGAGAAGCGTGCCCTCCTGGAGGAGTATGAGGCTGAAAGGGTGGCAGTCTTGTCATTGGTGGGCGACTTCGCGAAGGCACACCGGCGTTTCAAGTATATGGAGGAGGAGCAAGGCTTCCTAGCGTGCAAGGCTTCTACCCATGCAAGCACAGTCTATGTGAACAGGGTGGGCACGTTTGGAGTAGCTTCGACGCCATACTGGTGGGCGAGGCTGAGTGCAGCGTTGCTGAGGCTCACCTACTGGGTCCTCGGGGACCTCTTCCCGAATGACATGCTTTTATATGCAGATGACCTTGAAGTGTTGGCCATCGGGCGGCAGGGGCGGATTGGCGGTGTCTTGGCCTATTCACTCATGGCTGCCCTTGGAGCACCATTCAAATGGGCAAAGCAGAGGGGCGGTTTAGTGACAGAGTGGATTGGCCTCACGACAGACTACAGGTCCTTCTCAATGGGTCTTTCTGAAAGAAGAGCAGCCTGGGTTGTTCAATGGATTGATTCCCTGAATAGGAGAAAGGAGGTCACGTGCCGAGAATTTTCCGCTGGTCTAGGGAGACTGGGCTTTTCTGCTTTGGCGTTGCCATGGGAAAAACCTCTGCTGGGCCCGTTGTACGCCTGGTCCTCAGCTATTCAGGCAAATAGGGGCGCAATGACAATCCCGTGGTCAGTACAATTCATCTTGAACTGGATCGCTCAGAGACTCGAGGCAGGAGGTCACATGGAGATGGTCAAGAGGCCCCCCTCTTCAGGGGGCACTTCCCTGAGGATCTGGACAGATGCAAAGGCGACAGAGCAAGCAGCATGGATCGGAGGCTGGCTTGAGGAGTGCAAGGATAGCAGACAATGCCGCTGGTTTTCTTTGCAGGTTACAGAAGCAAGTGCACCATGGCTTTATTACAGAGGTAAGAATCCAAAGAGGGTGATAGCGGCGTTAGAGCTGCTGGCGACCCTCATTGCATTGAAGTTGTGGTTGAGGAACCCCGGAGATTCAGCCGAGGTTCATGCAGAAGCTTTCACGGACAATAGAGGCAACTCATTTATCCTCCAGAAGGGCTTGTCAACGAAGTACCCAATCACCATTTTAGTGATTGAGGTGGCAGAGACTCTTCGAAGGTGCGATGCTTTCGCAACCCTCACTTGGGTGAGGAGGGACGGCAACGTGTTGGCAGATGCTTTGACCAACGAAGACTTCAGCTCATTCGATCCCCGAAAGAGGGAGACAGTTTGTGAGAAGGAGTTGAGGTGGCACGTCATGAAGGAGTTGCTGCAAAGCAGTGAAAAGCTCTTCAACGAGATCAAAGAGCAAAAAGAAAAGAAGAGCAAGGTGAAAGCAACCGTTGGTCATGCAAAGCCGAAGGCTAGGAAGTTTTTCGGTCGGTGGAAGTCCTGACAGATGTTGGGAGAGACTGCACCCAGGACGCTCCTGGGTGCAGCCGGCAGGAGCT